GCACACGCACACGCACACGCACACGCACACGCACACACAAGCGACAGAGCTTATAAACCGAATTAGTCATTGTGTGAATGAGTCGGGTCAAGAAATGTTGTCATACTTTTGTAAAATGTTCAAATAATTTTATTGAAACTAATTTGTTCCATCCTGACATAATGATTCATTTCATTCAGCTGTGTCTTGAAGCATGCGGCTTGTGGAGATTTCCAATTTAATAATATCAATTTCCATGCCAAATTTAGGAGCTTGCTTCTGACGAAAGTCAGTCAGGTCAGAACAACCAAATATTGCTAATTCACAATCAGGCTGAACCGGTATTTGACATTGCTTGGAAAACCACTGAAATATTTCAGACCCAAAAATATTGAATACAGGACCAAAATAAATATGCAAGTGAGCCTTCAGCTGTATCGCATCACTGAAAGCAGAATGATACATTATCCATTCATTTTCAACTGCTTATCAGGTTCAGTCTAACGGGACTTAGATCACATTTGTGAATGAAAAGCACAATTCTACTGAAACTTGAATACAGTGACTGAATGAGAAATAATGTTCAAATAAAACAAATTACTGGTTTTACAGGATCAGGCTCGGCTACAGAGGAATGCGTGTCTATTGTTCTCTTTTCCTTTTATTAGTCTTTCTTGGCAACTCTGCATTAAAACGCCAGAATCCAAGTCATTTTTTTCAAGGGCATTGGGACTTGGTGTGTTTTGAAATAGTGAGTGAAGAGGCATCTGTTTCCTCAAACTAGAGACTATCCAGTCTTTGCCCCTTTGCTCGCTTGTGTGCACTGTGACCTTTCTGCTTGGAGTGATTTTCGGAGATCCAGTCAGGTGTTTTAGACTCGGGGGGAAAAAAAAAAGAACACACTTTATGCTTGTGCTCTATTTTATCTGCTTGACTGTATTTCCCTCTAGGAGTAGCACTTTGCTAAAGTAATGTACAATTCTTTTTAAATATCTGTAGCAAAACAAGTCTCATGTTTTCAAATGTGATTGATGATTATTAGTTTTATTCAACACTTTAAACTATGCGTTAGTGCAAATAGTTGCTAAGTGGACATTAAACAGCCCATGAAGTCGACAAAAACGTGTGAAATCTGAAATGTTCTTCTAGTTTTAACTTGTATCCTGCATATTCTGTCAAGGAAAAAACTTTAACCTGTTGCATAATTACTTCTGACCACATGTGACATGTTTTTGTGGAACCCATGTATGCATGAATGCCAGAATAAAGACAAGAATGTGGGGAGTGGAGCACCATTTTTTTTCCCCAACCACATAGCCTCTATTGTTTTCTCCGGGCATAGATGTTTTGCATTTGTAAAACGTCAATCATGCAGGGATGCAACATTTACAATGAAACACTTTTTCCTTCCAGGCTGTGTTCAGAATCACAGGGTGATGTTAATAGACAGCAATAATGGAATTAACAGCACACCCGAGTTGTGTTTGAAAAACATTTTTTTCATTTGGCTGATGGGTGAACTATGGACACTGAGCCCCTACTATTTGTGAGGACGGAAACCGAACCCTGCCACAAATTGGGAAAATCTGAATAACTGACGCCCAGTCCTAAACAGATTATGTGTTTGTGTTTAGATTAGTGATGGACAGATTATCAGCCAGGCCGCTTATCGGCGTTGATATTCGCTGACGTATATGATCATCAGCCTTGTTTGAAAAACCTGACGGCTGATAAAAGATCATTAAAAAACTGTGTTAACTTATGGGATCTATTTCTAAAAAAAATTTCAGTTAACTTGATGTTGCTGACCCTGGGAACTTTGCAACTTTTGTTTTTGTTTGAAATCAAAACAGAGATAAGCGAATGTTTAACATGCAGTTATTTTGAAATTTAGGAAAACCTAACTGTTCAAAAGTATCGGGAGCTAATTCCTTATTTAAGTTATCATTTAACTGGTTGAGACATGCTGAAGACGCAGGGAACTCCTTGAACTTTTCTTTCTGTTAGAATTTTAAAACAAAGATGTCTATTGTCCAAGATGATATCGGGAGAGGTAAAAAAAAAAAAAAAAAAAGACCATTGAAAAATAAACCATCAAGTGACAAACCATCTGTTCAGGGATCCACTGTGCAGGAAAATTGTAATGGCAATGTCGATGATGGGCGATTAGTAGCTGCATCAGGAAAGAAAATGAAACAAACCTTTTGTTTCACTTTGTGCATGAGATGCATTCAAGAAGTGCCAACAAAATAGGACATGACAAACACAGGTGAACAAACACTATCAACCTAAAAAAAAAAAAAAAAAAAAAAAAAAAAATTTTCCCCGGGGCCCACACACCTTTTTAAAAAAAGATAAATAACAGAGGACAGCTTCCGAAATCTAATCTGAAAATAAGCAAACTTGTGAAAGCTGAACGGTGAATATGGGGGAGTTCACTGTGGATCACTGTATAATATTACCTTTACAGTACACTGATTAGGGGGTAAGAGAATGATTTTGAACACAGCATGAAAAATCAAAGTTAAATTCAAAACTTCGCCATAGTGGCAGACAAAGGTGTTTGGTTTTTTTTTGTTTGTTTTTTTTTTTGGTGGGTTTTTGTTGTTTTTTTTTATACAGTGCATGAGGTGATAAAAATAAAGATCGTATAAAGTAGTTACATGTCTTTTGTGGGATTGGGCGGCCATAGTGGCAGACAAAGGTGTTTGGGTTTTTTTGTTTGTTTTTTTTGGTGGGTTTTTGTTGTTTTTTTTTTATATAGTGCATGAGGTGATAAAAATAAAGATAGTATAAAGTAGTTACATGTCTTTTGTGGGATTGGGCGCAATCGATCCTGCTCAAAGGAGGAAAAAAAAATAAATCATGATCCTACCTGAAGCTATAGCAGCTGAAGGGGTCCCGGATTCTCCACCACTGGTTTGGCTCATGGCTAATGGGTTCTTCTCGATGGTGGAACAAAACTGCAGCTCTCCGGGCAGAAGGTCATACACTAATTCTGGGGGATACAAAAGATGTATGAGGGGGATTTAACCTATGAGCACATTCAAGCACAACACACTCAATAATCAACTACAGGTTTATTATTCTCCGATTTGATCAGTTTTACCCAGTTCTCCTGGCAAAATGTATATCCTGTTTGAGTTTGGGTAAATTTATGGTTATTTTCCGTCACACAGCCAAGTGTTAAGTTCCAATACAGTGGACCCATGGTGGTTTAAAAAAAAAAAAAACTAAACAGAATTGAACCGCTGCCCCAAATTAGGATTGTTCAACCGTGACGCTGTTCTGAGCTCAAGTGAGTGTTATCCATTCTAGTTAACATAAGCAAACCTTTCTAAAACAATATGTTACAGAGAGCTAAAATAATAAGGAGTTTAGGGATGTCCACTTGAGTCTAGTGAAATGATATCAAACGCATATCAAAATGTCAAAGCAACTGAGGCGCATGAACAAAAACAGATCTTAACACAACACGGGGCTGTCCAACACTTTTTCCCTGTCCACTCCATTCCTTGGATCAACACATTTACTAGTAGCCTGATTCATCATCCAAATATTATTGTATAAACATAGAGCAGCCATTAAAGTTGCCCGACTCTCTTCCCTCCCGACTGCTAGCTTTAATTACTTGCAGATGAGCCATAAGGTTTGGTCAGATACTTAACCCTCCCATTGTTAGCTCTCGCCGTATACAGAACCCAAACTCAGGAAATACTGAAACCAGTCTGTGCAACATCATTCCCAAAGCCCTCTAGTCTCTTGGAGCTCAGAGTACATGAGCAGGGAAAGCTGATTCCCAGAAAGGGGGCTTAATTCTGAACTTCATTCAGCATACTCAGGGATCGAATGTGGCAGTGCCGCCTACTTCCCGAGCTCCAATACCTGCCACCTCCTACACAAAAACATTCTCCCCGAGTTTCAATCTTTGTTTATAGCTCCAGTCTTCTCGGGGCTCACTCGCAGACTGCACATGCAGAAACATGTGCTCCAAGTGGGCAGCCCTTCCTGTAAACACATTGCCAACCGCACAGGCAGAAAATATGTACACTTCCCTCCACTCGCGGGTCTCGCATCACTGGCTGGACTGTTCAAAGTGTTTCCACAGGCCCAGGTTGTTTTGAGAGCGTGAAAACTGCTGAAATGTGTTTCCTTGTAAGCAGACAGAGCGCAATTCTTCATTTGCGCATGACAAAAACACTCACCCTTTCACGCCAAGTGTACAAACAACACCACTTGAATTTAGTCGTAGTGATGCACACTTCTGACCACACTGGACCAATACTGTCTATGATCTTCATCACGAGGATTATACTCATTTAACAGATTTACATTTTCACTCATGGGCTTGTTGTCCTTGTGAGGAAAATCATGTATATGCCTTCTGTTGGCTTTAAGTAGAATAGTTCGCGATACACTTCGGTGCCAGTAGTGTTAACACAGAATATCACATGGAAGTATTGCTAGTCATTATTTGATAATCGCACCTTGTGTCTTGCTGTGTTATGGTAAGACGTGCGGGATGAAGCAAAAAAAAAAAAAAAGGTAACACTCACCATGTGACTGGCAGGACTTTTACACTCCCACTCATTCCGTTCACATTCCTGCTGCTTGCTCTTACTAGCCCCGACAACTAGGGCGTGGCACGTTTTTTTGGGGGATGATTAAAACCCCTCCTCCACTCCACCTACCTCTCGCTCTCTCCCCAGACTTGTTCACTACAATTATGGAACCATGTCTCTTCTTCAACTTGCCCAACAGGTTAGCAGAATTCTGTCATGCAGAACGATAGCTATCGGCATTTTTTTTTTTTTTAAGATACAGATTTATCTTTAGGATCTTGCCTAATTTGCAAATTGGACACACAAAGTTAATATCGCTGTGTCAATATATTGGGGCTGGTGTCTGCAGCAAAGCTTGTGCAACAACCCTGAAATGTTTACAGCCAAGCCTACATGATGGCTGCCAGGGGCTCCATAGCAACACAGTTCACCGGAAAAGTTGAATGCACTGTCGTGAGGAAACAAATGGAATAATCTAATTCAGTGGTTATCAAATGGGGGTACGCGTACACCTGGTGGTACGAGAAGGCACTTCAGGGGGTACATGAGATTTGAAAAAGTAGCACCCATGCAAAAAATAAATAAATAAATAAATAAAAATACATTTTTTTAAAATGTGTCACTAAAATGTCACAGTAAAGGCAAAAACACTCAGTTCAGGGCAACAATGCAATATTCAGTGTTGACATGAGGTTTATTGAAAAAAATATATATAATATATATTATATTATTATAAATTATATATATATAATATATAATATATAAATGTATATATATATATAT